ATGTGTGTGTGTGTGTGTGTGTGTGTGTGTGTGTGTGTGTGTGTGTGTGTGTGTGTGTGTGTGTGTGTGTGTGTCTATTACGCAAAATATATTCTAATTTCTGTTGTGTTTCTATTTATTTTTCTCTCTCTCGCTCTCGTTATAACAAAATAAACTTTTCTTTAATATATAATATTTCAGCTTGATACTGATATACAGCAAGTCAAACGTTGTATTTTTTAAAACATTTTTTACGCGCACTGCAGCAGCGTACACAATTATCTATCGCTAGTCCGCGATTAGTTTAGTCGGGACAATTAAATTGCGTAACGATATAGATAGATATACTCGAGATGGGAGACAAGATTAGTACAAAAAACCGTCTCTCGATATAAAACAATATGAAAATAACGATAACAATAAGCCTTTAAGAACGCTTTTAACTCCATTAAGACAATTAAGGCAAATAAGTTCAACATAAGTTCAACATAACTCTTTCGTAAAATACATCATCGCGTTTAATAATGGCGCATGCTTGACAATAATGTAACAAATGGTGGCTTATTAGATTATGCTCGACAGATCGTGTGGAAACGTCTAGGTATTAATTAATGCGTACTTAAAATTCTTTCTTTAAAGCAGATCGTAATAACGCGTTGCGCATCGACGTCACCAGCTTCTCTAACTCCTCGACCTTCATCTTCAGTATCTTGTTGTCCCTCTCCAGATCGGTCGCCCTCTTGATCATTTCTGATTCCTTGGCTTTCTTGTTCATTCGCGATCTTCGCGAAGCCTCGTTATTCTTCTCGCGGCATTCCCTATATTGGGAAAGGGCGACGTCGTCATCAGAATCACTCTCTTCGTAATACCTTTTCCTTCCGTTCTTATCCTTCGTCTTTGTACTGGTGACAGTTGTACTGGTGACTCTCTCTCTTTCTTTGCTTTTAGTCATCGCTATCCTCGTTCTCTCCGATCTTCGAGACGCTGCGGGAGTTTTCGCCGTGGATGACGTTATCGTCGATGTTGCGCGGGTTTCCATCCTTCGACGCGTCGAAGGTGGCGTCGGCTCGTTGATCTCCTCCGTCTTTACCTTCGTAGAGGTAAATGATAGTACCGGTGACGACGTTGCGAGTGATCTGACTTTCAACATCGCCGAGGAATCGGTAGACACATTGGCTGAACGCATTTCATCCTGTAACAAAAATCAATTTTGAAAATAAATCGTATGCGGGTACTCAACGGTCGTGCGGTCAAATATTTCCGCTAAATCTGTCAACGTACCTCCCAAAGGTACGACAGTAAGTCGAAAGTATCCGATCCGGTTGTCTCGATCGTGCGTAGCTCATCCCACATTTCACGCTGATTCGTGATGGCGTTAAACGACGTCGGGGAAACGTAATCCAAATCATGACCTTCGGATTGGAGTGACGCGCTAATATCTGCGTTTAGCTGCTTGCTCGACGAGCTGCTTTTAGAAGCTGTAGATTCAGGTGACATTAACCACGAGCTGGATGCGTTGTTATCCTCATTATTATTATTATTTCCTAATCCATATTCGTTAACGAGTTCCGATGGAGATAGCAGCAAGTGACGATTATCACTTGACGCTTTGGTCGTCTTAACGGTATCCATTTTCAAATCTAACTTTTCATCATCAGTCGTTCTCGTCAAATCCTTTAACAATCCTTCCTCTTCCGCAATCGAAACGCCGTTACCCTCGTATTTTGTACCTGGAACAAGGCCAGTAGTCCATAGCAAATGCTCTCTGTGCCGATTATATCATATCAGAAGAATTAGCGAAATTCCATATAGAACGCCTGACTCGTTTACGTATATAAAAATATAGGTACCTGATAGTTTAAACGTAGTCGATTCACCTATATGAAAATCGCATTGACCCTGGAACGTGTCCATGCACCAACTGCTCAGATCCTGAAAGTCCTCTTCCCAGGCGGAGAGTGCCGCAATATCCTCTTTTTTCGTAGGATTCGCCTTTGTGCGCGGGAATACCCAGGGCTCCTTCAAAAGCTCGGACTCCATCGTTGGGCTTAGCAAAGGAACTGTATCCACTTTCGTCGAGGCATCTCCCAGTGGCCGCGATCTCACGCCACGAGTAACAGATGACGGAAGCTGCTGACGGTTCCATGATTTTTGTACCTGAAACGTTTGCATCTTTCCTTCAATATCCGTCCAGGTCCGGCGCCAGATTCCGGTGTTTCCCCTGTCCTGGATCTCTTTCGGGATCGGACAGTACTTACGTTAAGAACACCTCCTTCCTCAACTGAAATGTTGCTGGTTGTTGGACGTTCGTAGATGGGAGGGATTTTGGAAGCCTGAAATAAGTACGAACGTGATTAAATACAATTCGAGTCACAATTAATATTAATAATAAATAATCGTGCTTAACACGTCGCATTAAAATTAATTAAATGTAGATATATCCGCTATATAGCTTTTTACTTTACCAATAACATATTTTTCAGCGTAGATAATTTAGACGATTTAATAAAAGTGTAGGAATGACCACGGATGGAAATATCAGTAGGAGAATATGTTCGTATCAACTTTATTCAATCGAACGATTATTATAACGCGGAAATACCGCTCTGTCTCGCGGGTGGACTCCTCGGCTCAGAATCTTTTACGGAAAAGTGAAAGTCTTCAGTCCTTCTATTCGGCTGGCTGAGACGACTCTGGCCCTCTCGGCGATCAGCGTCCTTATATCTATTCACGAACTCGGTTCGTTCGAATTTGTATTTGTCAACAGTGACTACAGTTTCAACAGTTTGTCGAAATATACACGACCGCGTCAACGGTCCGCGCATTGCCCGTTACCAACGTCTATGAAAATCGCTTACAAAAGGTTACTCTTTCTAGACATCGCGCATCGGATCGATATAATATAATTCCGAGAATGTTATAATGTGAAAATTGATAAGCAGTATCAGTCGATGTCCATTCCAATCTTCATCCCGCTGAGCAACGAGCGAAATAGTAATTTATCATGATAATATCAAGATAATATCATATTATATACCTCGCGGGGCTCGGGGGATTGATTGTAATCTTATGGATTATAATATTATATCTGTCGCGTATAATGTGGAACGTTCGATGAACTTTGCATTCTTTCTATTCGGTATTCGTTTAGGTGAATTTGAAACCAGTCTGATGGTCTCTCAGCGAAACGCGGTGGCCGAATCTCGATACGCGACATATATCTCGCCCGCGCGATTTCGCTTAGTCATCTCCGAGGAGAGTTGCTCCAAAGTGTTACGTCACGCGACTTCCTATATGCGACTTATCTTATCGCGCTCCGCGCTTTCTTTAGCAATTATACGTTAACTCGATCATATCAAGAAAGCAAACAGCTTGTTGTTTCCGACATGTTATCGTCACCGTTAAAAAGGCCTTGAATATTCCTTTCAGTCTACCGCGCTCTTGTGTAGCGGCATATCAGGCTGTAACAAGCGAGCGCGGGAGTCGTTATCTCGTTTTCCTCCCTCGCGATATCCCGCTCTTTGCGAAATCACTTCCACTTACGCGCGTTGTTGTCTCTCTTTCCCGACGGCTTATCTCGCTGCGTGTGGGTGGGTGAGGTGCGCACTGCAGGAAAAGCTATACACGGTCTAGTCCAACTTAGGCCGACTGGTTACGTAAGCGCCGTGGCGCGTTCGGGCGCATGTGACTATTGTGACTTGTGACTCCGATTCGCGGCGTTCGGCGCGGATTGCATCATGCACACCGCGGACCGCGGACCGTCGCGGTGCGTCATGCGTCACCGTGATTCGCGCACCTGATCGCGTGACCCCGCGCGCTCCGGTGCGTCGCGTCGCGTCGAACGGTACGACGCAAAATCGTCTCGTCGCGTCGCGTCGGCTGGGAAAACCTTTGGAGAAGCTATATCCACGCGACCCGAAAATATATAGTCGCGCCGACGGCGACGTCAACACGCCACACGCCTCGCGCGCTCCAATCGATCCCTCGCGACTACGCAGCACCTTTCAACCGATGGCGGGGCCGCACGGTACGGGTCGCGTCGTGACGACGTATACGCACCTTTACTTGCTCGTCCAGATCGTTACATAACGGAGCACGAGAATCTCTGCGCCGCGAAAAAAATCGACGTATAAAGGATTTATTTACTCACCCTCCCTGAGATGATCGGTATCGGTGTACCTTCCACTTGGGCCGGAGCTACAGCTAGTAGAAAAGAGTCAAGAAAGGTGTCGGTTTGTGTCCGCACTGTGCAACTGTTTTCACTCGCTCGGCCCTCGCGTGGCCGATGTGTCAGAATCAGATGGACGACTGTGGACGTGTGCGTGCTTCGCCGTATAGCCGTATACTCTCTTCGTCGTGTAGTCGCTTCGATCGTCGTCCGTGAAATGCGGCCGGAGTGGCGGCGGTGCCGGGGTTAAAGCACGTCACGGGACGGTGTTGGGAGTACGGTACGCGTATACCGTCGTGGAGCAACGTCATCCGCGGCAAATCGGAGCGGCGGTGAGCTCACCACGGGCGAATCGACGCGGCCCGCGGCGCCGTCGCGGCGCGCCGACCGGAACACGTCATGTGCTGAATTCGAGACGATAATCTCGCCGGGAGTCGATAATTTATTGTTCCCTCGCTCGGTTCCGACTCGCTTCGCTCCTGCATGGATCTGCAGCGTTTTCCTTCTCTCTCCTTCTTCTTTTCTTTTTTCTTCTTCTTGACGCTGCACTTTACCGGTCGTTTACCGCAGTAGCCGATCGGAGCGAGCGTTTCTCTGAATCCTTTCATTCTCTTCTGCAAAAAGGCGTAAAAGGGCGATCCAGGAAAGATTTTAACTTGTGATATATAATGTAATGGAATGACTCATAGAAAGAGAAATCGCAGACCGACGTATCAATAGGTGAATGTATGTGAAATTGGAGGACAAATTCGCGCGTTCATATGAGCTTCGAAAGTTCTTTCGGCAAGAGAGAAAGCCGAAAGAGTGGGGTGACTGGATATAAGAATAATTGCTTGATGACGAATAAGAAAACTAGTAGTGCAGGTCGGCGCTAACGAAACGAAATGAGAGAGTAAAGCTTTTTATGAAATTTTGTTAATTCTCCAGCACTTCTCCTCCCCCGTAATCTGCATATAATATTTTAAATTTAAATATTTTAAATTATTTTTTAATTTATAGAGAATGTTATTGAAGGGCGAAAGATAAAATATTGTAACGATAATTTGCATTAAATATATATATCGTTTGTGACGCAACATACGTGGCAGTTGCAAAGTTGTTATTTCAGCAACAAAATTGCTCGACGTTATCGTTCCTCGATGCAGCCGCGCGTTGCGATAAGCACGACCGACAGTGGCTAGATGGAGTTGCAAGTGCAAGCTCAATCTACACTTTGCAACTCAGCTTGGCGCTTTTGCTCTCTCCTCTTTTTTAATGATTTTTTATTATTAATATTATTCTTACTGATGGTTAAAATTTAATGTTTAGCATTATATGTAATTATTATAAGTTAATCACAAACTTTAAATATTAAAAATAAACTGTCCCAAATAGGGAATCGATACCTTATCTTATTGTTAGTAGAAACCTATAAGTTTTGTAGTTTGTAAGTTTGCAGATGCTGCGGTTTCTATACTATATAACAATATAAGATAAGTAATCTATAATATCTTTTCATTCTTTTTTCTATTCTTTACTCAAACTTTAACAATGACATAAGATGGCCTAACTTGGTATCGATTCCCTATTTAGGACAGTTATTTATTTTTAATATTTAATTTTTTATTTAAATAAATGAATAATTAACTATACATTCTCGATATTGAAATGAAATGAATAAAAAACGGATTTTGTGAGAGTCAAACACGGTTAGTTGTGCGTGAGTTAAAGTTATGTAACACTTAATTAATGATTGAGCCATATCATAGCTCAAAGTCAAAACGTACGATTTATTTTGTATTTAATGAATAATTAAATGTTGCATAACGTTAATTCACGCGCAACTGATCGCGTTTGACTATCAAGCCTGCTTTTTCTTTGTTATTTTTTAATTTTAATTCTTTAGTATATTCGGCACACACAAGTTAATTAACTGAAGACTGTACCTAGTATATAATTTTTTGTACCTAACTTTTATATCTATACTGTGTTCCTAGTTATGTTAAGATATTTAATATTTGCTCTGTTTATCTATCGTTTTAATTTCGACATATTGTCAGTATTGTCAAAACATGGAAGTATCTTTTTGATTTAACATGTTATCGATTATTTGAATTACTTATGAGCTGTATGGACTAAGCTCCAAGCTTCGTACCTATATAGCGTACTGCTTTTTTTCAAATAAAAAAAGTTTACTCTTTATACATACAATATCGGTAACGTTCTGTTCGAGAAGATTATTGAAAAATCAACAATCGAAGAGCCTACAGCTTATGTCTTTTATATTTCAATTGAATTTATACAGACACGCAAACGAGTTTATTTACAAATAAGATAGAAATTTATTGTTTCTTTTTGTCGCGAAAAAACAAACTGGGATAATTTATGATTATACGATACGTTTCCTCCAAGACTGTTTCTTCCACGAATTCGTATGAGGAAACTGAATAAATTGAAGGGTCTCGGCAGTGACGCATTCCGCATACCAACGACCTCTCCTTTCGCCCACGTACATAATTATAATAGCATCATGCAGACTACTACAGAGTCTCCCAACTGCGAAACGGGATTTCCTACATGACATCAGATAGCTTGAATTCCGACGCAGTTCATGTAATTTTAATAATTCTGGCAAAATTTATTTGAAGTTATTAACAAATATCTATTGTATGTAACATATGAACGTGTATCAATTATTCTGATTAATTCAGGCACATTCTCGCATCTCAAATTCTATTCAGTATGAAATAAAATTTCTAGTAATTTTTAAAACACGCAAGTTTTTGCAAAAACGAGTAAGCTTGCAAATTTGAATGAGTATTAATATTATACCTCGCTTTATAATCTGTTTGTGATAAGAGCGATTCTGTGAAATTCTTATCATTGACTAGAAATGGTTATCGGTGAAGTGCAAAAGCATGTTTGAAAGCAACGATGGATCAAGAACATAGCGCAAATTATGAAGATCGTATTGAAGTATTAATATTATATCACAAAAGCTTAAAATGTAGTTTTGTCAAATTTGAAAGAAGATAACCAAAGCTCTGCATGTTTTAGTTCGTAATCGCTTTAATGACAAAAGATTACGAGAAGGCTCGTGACATTGGAAGTCAATGTAAGGATTAATCAATTTTAGCGTAATTCCGTGTATACATAAATATTATTTAATTAAAATTGTGAATTATAGAAAAAATAAATTATTGACATTTAATTTTTATTATCAACAGTGTTAAAGCGAAACCGGAATGACGTAGATATTACCCGTGCTCTTAATATTCTGAAGAACAAAAGTCAGTGTGGAATTTTTCTCTCATTTTGCATTCCATTTCCCATTCAAATATATTCTATAGTATTCTATTTTATGTTAACAGAACACGAAGAATGCGAAAGGTCAAGTTTAATTGAATCTAAATGTGAAGGAAGTGACGCGACCGATGGCAATGATACTGATTTTATAGGCGGCAGTGCGGATATTCACATCGATCCAGAAATGGCAAGTAAAATCGCGTCATGCGACATGTCTCGATTGAGTAATGAAGCTAAGAACCATCTCGCCAAGACTCTCGACCAGAAAATGCACAGAGTAATACCAATAAAAATGAGTAAAGTTACGCATATAAAGGATTTGACGAAACGTTAAAAATCTGCCTTATATACTAAAGGTTTATAATTGCAAGAACATAAAATACATGAGTAATGTAAACAATATAAATAAAATATAAATACAAGATAAAAGTGTGAATATATAGGATAGGAAATAAAATACCGCGAGACGTTTTACTGAAATACATTTTATTAATAAAAAAAACAACTATTTGTTAAAGTTTTTACAACATAAATGAAAAACAGCGTGGTAGGCATCGTTTGGTGCACGCTCGTCGCGCAGGCACAGAGGTCATCGTTAATTGTCACACCCGGCGACTTTACACGTTTCCGGTTCTTTAGAGAGATTATCTCGTCACGTGAAAGGATACACTATATGAATATTTCCCAATGCTTTTTGGTCGTCATCGCGAATGAACCGGTCTTCTTGGGGGTTGGCGGGGATTTCCACGAGACTTTCCTTCTCCCTCTTTAACTTCTTTTTTTTCCAGTCACTTAAATCAAATTCGGAATCTCGTCGAATTGCCCCGTTGCGCTGGTCGCGCGCGCCCGCACACTATTTATATTACAACGTGATGCGTATACCTTCCGAGTAACAAAATATAAATCCACGTACGTATAGTTATATTAATATACAAGCACACAGTTTCTCTCACGTACGCACGTCGATCGTATGAGTTAATACAAAAGAGGGGAATAAGGATGGAAGAGGGGACGATGGTGTGGTGTGTTGGATTGATCCTTAACGTTCTATTAAATTACAAAAAAATACAACCTCGCGCGTAAAGTCTCTTTAATCATTGAACACGCATCGAATTTCACTTCGAAGGGCGGACGGATCCCATTTCGTTTTTTTCTTTCTTTCTTTTGCGGCTTTCTGGCGCGCCTCGAATTTATCTGGACGCGTGCCGAAGCGACGATCGGTGGCACGATCTGCCGATCGTCGTTCCAGGACTCTTGCGTCGCTCGCCAAGTTGTGTCGATCGAAGCACATCTCTTGCGTCGACGCGAGATCTCGCGATTTCCGATCGGGCTCCTCTCTCGCCTTTTCCACACATCAGCACGTCCGGTCGCGCGATCGCGGATCTCGCGCGACGTACGCCGTACAGAATGGTACTGTAATAAATAACATGATCCGTCGATCGGTCGAGGAGCAACGACGACGACGTGTCGCTCGAAGGATGAGTATATACCGTCGTCGCCCCGTCTGATTACACTGATATCTCCCGCTTTTTCATATTCTACGTTGGCGTGAAAGTCATTGTTCTACCCGGTCACTGGCCTTCGCTGTCGCTGTCGCTCTTATCTGCAAAATGGATATTTCGTAATGTTATTTGTTGCGCCGCACGCATCGGAAACGTTTTCCGAGATAACGCACTGTCGTGTCCAAGTCTGCCGTTTAATCAAATGGAGCGGAAATTTGTTACGTGTTCTAATGATAGTAAAAAGACGACGGCAGCATATACGTAAGCTTAAATTATTATTTATATAAATTAATTAATAAATAGCCGGTCGTGCGCGAGGTATATGTCGCATCCGATCCTGTTGGCAGTGATTTTTCAGACGACCGCACACATATGATGAGCCGACGTTGATTAGTATGATTACGAGGGTAGTTGCGGGATTGTACCTTTTTTACCGGTATACGCGTGACGCTTCAGTCTGTCGTAAAGATCGTCTTTTGTGCCGTAAATACTGGCGTTCGATCGAGCAAGACTGTTCATCTTGCCTCCGTTGTGCAGGCTCTCTGTATAAGGAAAGAAAAAAAAATTGATGAGCACTCTCGACAATAAATTATATGAAATCTCACTGCGCATTATTTATTTTTGCAATAAATACGATTGGTGTCTATACCGTGAGAATAAATAATCCTCATCGATATCATATCGCTACACGGTAAGAAGGGTTTTGCTGAAATATCTAAAAATCTAGCTATAGATACAGATCTGAAAACAATTTTGTTGCACCATCCAAATAATTATGTAGAACACTCAAACTGATTGCTAAAATGTTAAAATGTCAAAATTGTTTACAGCATTATCATCATACTTTAGCGACCTATTATATATTATTTTGATGGTGCAACAAAATTATTTTCAGATCTAGTATCTAGCTAAATTTTTAGATACTTTAGCAAAACCGTTCTTTCCGTATAAAACTTAAATTGTAATTTCGATTTCGTATATTGGGAATATTTTATACGATCCTTACCTTTCATGTAAGTTTCGTTATAGAAATTGGGCATCTCCCAGCCATCCTCCTCGTCGTCGTAATAATGAGCGTACGTGCTGTGGTGTGATGGTGCTATCGATTCGGCATACGGTGTCGGCGCACCATAGTAGAAATTGACTTGCGAGCCGTTTTGGTCGGTCGCTGGAGTAAGCATCTTCTTCGGCTCCTTCTTTCTAGAGGCTCTGTAAAAGAAAAGAAAGATTTCTCGTTACCGATAAAATGCTGATTTATATCTAAAATAATATTATTAAACAGTTTTTTTTACAGATACTCGAATCGAAGAGAAGTTTTTCGAGATCGTTATTGCAAGTGTAGATTAATCGAATTTTTTTTTACCAACCTGACGCAAATCATCCAGACGAGCAGCACCACGATAATTATCAGAATAACGCCTCCCGCTATGCCACCGGTGATGTAGAAGAACTCGGACTTCTCCGTGCAATGTTTGCCCGTGAAGCTGCCGCTGCATCTACACGAGGGTTGCCCGCGCGAGTCCTTCAGGCAGACGCCCTCGTTGTCGCAGTAGCCCAGACACACGTCTGTGCACACGGTTCCGGTGCCGTTGTACCCGGGCTTACACTCACACTTGAAGTCGCTCGTCTCAGGTATAAGTAGACAGTACGCATTCGCGTCGCAATGCATTTCCTCGCCACTGGTCTCGCACGGATTCGTGCAGTCCGCTTTGCTTGTCTGTTAACAAGTGTCGACATCGACAAATGATTTTATCTTGAACAAGTTTGTCAAAATACATAACTTAAAAAATCACATTTATTACATATATACGCAGGTAATTTCTCTAAGAAATACTTAACATTTATTAATATTTTAGAAAAAAAAAAAACTCACAGCAGTGGATCCTTTCGTGCTGGTGTTCGGCGGGCACGGAATGCAGAAGGTTTGCTGCGGTTCCGATTGATAGGTTCCCTTCTTACACTCCACGCACTCGTTGAGGGTGCCGTTGAGGTAAGTTCCGGGTTCGCAGACCGGAAGCGAGCATTCCTCGATCGCCGCCGATCCCATGTTCGGGGTCGTTCTGCCGAGCGGGCAGGATTGGCAGGATGCCTGCACCCCTTGAGTTCGGTACGTGCCACGCGGGCAAGGCTCGCATTTCCCTTCGACGGCCAACTGCTGCCCGGATCCGCACTCGTCCCGGCATTCTTCTCGCGACACCGCCTCGGAGGTTCTTGTGGTCTTTCCGAGGCCGCACAGCAGGCAGGAGAAGCTACCCTCGTTCGGCTGATAGAATCCATGGCCGCAGTTGCGACAAAGACCGGCCACGTCGTCGTAGTATTTGCCGGCAGGACAACGCTCCTTGCAGTCCGCTGCGCTACGCGCTCCAGGACCCACGGTCACGCTGGGACGACCGGCGATCACCGGACAGGAACTGCATCTTAATTGCCCGGATTCGCTCTGATAGGTACCCACGGGGCAGGATATGCATTGCATCGTCTCTTCGTCATAGAAAGTGCCCACCGCGCATGGTACTGCAAGAAAATTGTCGATAACGATCGAGATGAGTTTTTCTCAAATGCTATTATTGACATTTTGTCTCTAAAAAGCATATTGCGATATTTTCTAAAATTAAACGGAGATACTTTTATCTCGCGGCTAAAGCGACTCTGTTTGATTTTGTCAAAGAAATTATTTTTAATAATTATTTATAAAACATAGTATCTTACCACAATCCGGTGCCATGACAACTTGGCCAATCGGACAGGCATAGTCGGATTCCAGAACGAGAGATGCGGGATCTGGCACGGTGTTAGGCAGAATGTCGTGGACGTCGAATTGGTCCTCCTCGAGGATCAGTTTTTCGAGCAACATTTGTACGGTAGCGCGCTCGTTTGAGTTAGCATTCAGGATCGGATCGCTGCGAAGCATAAAAAACAGTTATTGTTTTGTAAACCGATGGAATATTTACAATAGCAACAGGCAATGGAAAGGTTTGCGCAAGTATATACAGCCGTTATCTTGAGGTGAATGTAGTTAAGGCAGCCTTGTCTTTGAACCAGGATCCTCGTCAGTAGATTCGTGTGTCGCAGGTTAAACCGCACTCAATACCCTTAGCAATTTTAATTAATGCGCGCCTGTATTCATTCGCCGTCACGTTGATCACGTATGTTGTCAAATGTATACATTGGAATTGTCATCCGTAAATCGAAGCTGTTGGATCACTGTTAAGTGAGCGCAAGTTACAGAACTTGAAGTAGCGAAATTGCACAAATTGTCGAATCATATATTATTTTCGAAATTGTAGTTATTTAATTTCTGTGAGTCAGTACATATAACGTCCATTTAATCGAGTAATATATTTTTTTTCAACAAAATGAAAAAGTGCTGAGCAATCTCACACAGTTTGATTAGATTTTGATTTTATTACAATGTTATCCCTATCGGAAAATTTGTGGACACCTGTTGCAGCCCGCTACGATGACGTCCCACCTGTATGTATGGTGATCAGTCGTGATCAGTTAGTAAGAACGTGCAACCTTTACTTATTTCGTACAGCTATAAGACTTGATCCACTTTCCTGGCCGTAAGATTAGTCGTTAGTATATGATCTGTTCGATGACTTTTCGATGCTTTATTACAAATCTGAGAGTTATGCGCTATTATCGTAGGACGAGGGAACGCTGAAACGTGATTAACGCGGGAAGTTATAACAAACTGCACAATGCAATGAATGATAACGTATTAGAGATGATGGCGGGTAAGACATGTAAATGAATTGAATCGCGCTGGCGTGAATCGAGCTGTCCTTACTTTATCGCCGGGAATGAGATCTCCACCTCGTAGGTGTCACTGCCCTGGCGACCCTTTCTCGTTCTATGATGCAACACAAGTAACAAAAATACTCAGTACGAAGGTTCACTGTAAGCGAAATGCGCGGCGGCAGACAATAAACTGCAGTATCTAACAATTAAGTGACCGATATGATCGAGATACAAGAGCAAGCCATGATTTACACACATTGTAAATTATTTTAAATAAGAGGAAAATGCATTTAGAGTGATTGGCGAGTTGACGTGTTTTAAGAATTGCAACTTGCACCCTGCAAACGTTTTGAACGACAAAAATTTCTAGGACGTTTATTAATTAAAAGATTATAATTTGAGCACACTTACGGTTCCGCGGGCACAGCGGCGGAAACGACGTACGTTCCACCGTCCTCCTCGTTCGTTTCTCTCGTTGCGCGTATGCGATGATCGCATTGTACATCGATATCAAGATCCTTGCACTCGCGAGTTCCTAAAAAAATAAGTGAAAGTGTAAGTAATATAATTTAGATTGGTGCAAGAAATGTGCAGTTATATAAATAATAATCCGTTTGTAAATTGCATATTACCTTCGTAAGAGTACGAACAGAAATTCCAGTCTCTGTTCAAAGAGTTCACGGCATTTCGAACTTTCTGTTTGAGTACACCCTGGCCGGCCTCGTTGCAGAGCACCGATGTGGGGAAGTTCATCTTAATCCTGAAGACTCTTTGGGCTGACGTAGCACCTACGAAACAAAGTATACGTTAATTTATCCGGAAAATGCGATCATTGTACGAGAAAATGAATCAAACATGTATGAGATGCTTACTCGTACAAGCTGGATACACCAAAGGTAGACTAGGATCACTGGTGGGTCTCCAGAAGCCTTCTGCACCACACGTGTAGAATTTGGGAACCTCTTGCGAGAACCGAAGTCCGGCATTGCAAGAAATCTCGCAGACTTTAAACTGGCCTCCCGAACCCCAGTCCTTGCATTGTTGTGTGCCACCGATAGGATCCTCCAATGTCGGGCAAAAGTCGGCTGCAATGAGAAAAATTTGTATAAATTTTGAAAATTTACGCTCGTGCACACACACACAACATTTTCCAAGAAAGAATATTATTTTCTAGAAAAATATTTCAACGTTTATTAGACAAATACTGGCCGAGGAGAAGACTTTCTTACACAACACGTAAACTTTGAAGTTGCAAGTGGCCGAGTTTCCGGAATGATCATAAGCCACGTAGCTGAGGTCATAGGTGCCCCACAGCAGAGTCTGTCCGGATCGGTGTCCGTTCTTCTCCTGGACCCTAATGACGCCGACGTTGTCGCTGAAATGCGGCTCGTCCCAGGTGACGATCGACGATCCGTTCTTCGCGATTACCCAAAGATCGCCCGGACAGTGCTCCACTCTGGGTGGGATCTTGTCAGCCTCGAGTTGCTGACATTTGTTACCACCGTAACCGGGCGGACACACTCGCTGTCCGCAGTGCGAAGGTACGACTCTCTCGACACCACCCACGGTTTCGTCGTATCCCGCCCACGTCAGCACCAGACCCTGATAGAGAACCGGTTCCGTGCGGCAGTCGCGAACTTGCTTCTGAATCTCGTTCGTCACGTGCAACGCACGGCCCCAGACTTGCACCTTGGTCAAATGGCCTTGGAAGCCCAAGTCCGTATAACTCTTCGTATTTTCGCTCGGTGGTTTTCCTAACACCGCCCACGCGCTGTAGAAATTTTTAATTATCAATAAATATTAATTTTCTAAAAGAATCGTCGAAGAAACATTGAGGAAAAATGTTTCGTAATTTTTTACGTTTCTTCTCAAAGAACACTTACTATGCTGGGAGTGATCTGCCACTGCCGTAGCCCTCAGTCTTGCTAGCAATGAGGCCTTCTGTGATTAAAATGAGCTCTCCGCCATTTTCACCATTCCACACAACAGCGACGTGATGCCATTGTCCGTCATTTATGGTCGCGTATTCTCTGAATGGCAGGTAGACGTCTTGCAGGTCGTGGAAGAGAGATACCTGAACACCGCTACTGTGCGCCTGGATCATAAGTCTTCGGTTCGTTGGAACGTGTGGCGAGCTGAAGAAAAGATTTTGCATATGCATATATCCATGTACTACATTACTCGAAAAGAAAATAATAGTGAATTATTATGCTGTATGAGTTTCAAGCGAAAGAAAAGTGTAAATAAACAATAAACCTGTACCTAACGCCATAAAGAGTAAAGAAAATTCCAGCTTCGTCTCTCTGCGTGTACTGCACCCACATAGCGACAGTTAAGCTCTTCGTGGAGCCAGTGAAGAATGGAATGACCTGCGAAGCGCTGCTGCGTCCTGGATCGCTGAAATACAAGTCGTAGTCCACTTGGATAGCTGTAAGAATTTAAAGCCAAGATTAAACGATGAAAATTAACTATCTCTAATATAATATCTTAATAAAAAAAAATCTGAGAAACATACATTTCCTGCAATCGTCGCCAGTTAAGTTGAATGGACACTGGCAGAAGAATTTGCCCGTGAGATCGATACAAGTTGCTGATGGTGGGCAAGAATTTTCTTTGCAATCGATTATATCTTCTTCGCAAGTTTGACCTAATGCAGACAATTAAAGAATTCATATTTTTTTTAGAAATAATAGCGTTTGATAAGAAAAACAACACGTTGACGTGGATATGTTAAATTTATACCAGTATATCCCGGAGGGCATATGCAGGTGAATCCGGGACCTTCGTCGATACAAGTTGCTCCATTTTTGCAAGCGCCGGCTTGGCAGGCGTCATACTCGTATTGACAGCCGATGCCGGTGTAATCGTTAGGGCAAGTACAATTCAAGCCAGAACCGAAATCTTGACAGCGGCCTTGGTGCATGCACGGATTTCCGATGCAGCGTTCCGGCGCCGTTTCACATTGTTTGCCATCGGTTCCGGATGGGCAGCTGTCGGTTGGAAACTCGTATAAACCCAAGATTTATTATTTCCGCGAAACATCATAGAGACATCATGTACTTACACGCAGAAGTAGTCCATGAACAAATCCACGCAGGCGGCGTCGTTCTGGCAAGGTCGATTCAGGCACATGCCAACGTCCATTTGGCAATACACGCCGCTCCATCCCTCCGGGCATACGCACTTGAAACCACCGACCTCGTCTCTGCACGTCGCGCCGTTCAGGCACGGATCGGACGCGCAATCGTCTATGTTGATCTCGCAGGACGGCCCGGTGTAGCCGTCTCGACAGTGACAGACGAAGGTGTTGTCGAGATCTATGCAGCGATCGGTGCCGACCGGATTGCAAGGATCGCTCTGACATTCGTCGATTTCCGCCTCGCACTGCAGCCCAACGAAGCCGGGTCTGCACCTGCAGACGAAGCCCTGTAGCTGATCTATGCATGTAGCCCCGTTTTGACAAGGATCCGACGCGCAATCGTCAATCGTGTGTTGGCACTGCTTGCCCGTATAACCAGGCTCGCACGTGCAGGTATAGTCGTCGATCTGATCGATGCATTGACCATTGTTTCGGCACGGCCGAGACGCGCACTCATTGATGTTTGTCTCGCAGGCCACGCCTGTCCATCCCGGATGGCAGATGCACTCGTGGCTGAAGAGCTTGTCCACGCAAATTCCATTCAAGCAAGGATTGCCCGAGCAGAGATCGATTTTCTCGTGGCAGCGTTTGCCGGTAAATCCTGGCGGGCAGTCGCAGGAGAAATCGGCGACCAGATCGGTGCAATTGGCACCGAGCAGACAAGGTCGCTCGGCGCAATCATTGGTATTGATCTCACAGCTTTGACCTTCCCACCCTGGCAAACAATCGCACTTGTAACGACCCTGCTGAAGAGCTATGCAAGTAGCACCGTTATTGCAAGGATTTCCGCTAGCCGTACAAGGATTTATCTGCATAAAGATACGAAAATAAAATTAGATATAGGTAAACTAAATATAAATACTTAATTTATAAAATGTTTGATGTTTATAGATAGAATACGATTTTTCTTTAACCGCATTGATCTATCCTCTATAGAATTTTATCAAGTGTTTAGACTGGAATCGATAAAGAGAAGCACTTACAGTGATGTCGCAATCGACTCCAGTGTATCCGGATCGACAGAGACACGTGTAATTATTAAATCCAGGCTCGTCCTTGCACATGGCTCTTTCCGGACACGTGTCGTTCGCGCAATCCGATTTCTCTTCTTGGCAATTGATGCCAGAATAGCTGTTGGCGCATTGACACCTGTAGCCTTGCGGCAGATCTATGCAAGTGGCACCATTGTAGCATGGCTGAGACGCGCACTCATCGATATCGATCTCGCAGCGTCTTCCAGAGAAGCCGGCTGGACATAAGCAGTGTATACCGTGTCCCATTGGCACGCAGAGACCGCCGTGCTGACATACGTTGTCGGTGCACTGGACAGGCTTGCACTCCTCGCGGCCGACCGAACCAGGTCCGTCCGTATACATGTTTGTGGGACACTCGACGCACGTGGTCGCGCCGTGCTGAGGCTGGAAGAAGTTCTTGGGACACTGAGCGCAAGGTGCGAGTCCCGTATCCGAATACATGCCCGGCGAACACTTGGCGCGGCAACGATCACGACCGGGCGCGGCTGGTTGGTAAGTGAACGTTCCAGCTGGACAGGTTTGACAGTCCTTGTAGCCTCCGATCGGCGGTTCGCCGGTGTAGCTGTTTCTGGGGCACTCGAGGCAAGGCACGAGACCGGTAGGCGAGTACGTTCCGTAACCGCAGACCGGTATGCAATCGTCTATGCTCTTCGATCCTTCCTCCTTTGTATACGTGCCGAACGGACAGCGCAAGCAGGAACCTTGCCGGTCGCTGTTCTGATAGAAGCCCTTCGGGCAGGCTGTGCACTGCTTCTGCTTCTCTCCGGCGAAGGTTCCAGCAGGACAATGCACTGAAAATGTGTAAACAAGTCTTGCGATAGAATTTCTTAAAAAAATTGTAAGTAATAGATCAAATTAAATAGTACGAAATATGTCTACTTACGGCAACGGGGAACGTCGTTGGTATCCATGTTCAATACTTCACCAATGCTGCATGTAAAGCCCCTACTGATGGACGATTGAAGAGCACGGAGAGGCGGGCATTGATTACCAATCGCGGAAACGTTCAACAGAGGCTCGATAACTGCGCTCGCGTAAGGGATCGATAAATCGAAGATCAGATTCAACGTGGAACCACAAAAATCGTACAATTGCGGTTGACGTTGTGCCGGGACGATCACCAAAACAAAGTCCATCTGAAATTTGTAGAAAATTTTTGTCAATCTAATTCCTCATCCATAATAATTCTGATTTAATTTTAGTCCATACCTTGAGAACATTCTCTTCGATCAAGAAAGGCATCGATCTGACGAAAGACACGTTCATATTCACATTGACAGCGGAGCAGCGTTGAGTTAAAATAGTGTTAAGATTTGTGTAATGCTGAGCCATGAGATCCTGGTACATCGGTAGACAGGATCGAGGAACGGCGCCGTTCGCGCGATAAGTTACCGAGGCAATTACATGATAATCGGCCTGTTGCGTGTCTACAGATATCAATATTTTAATTATTAGTAAATTACACCGTAAAAAATAATATAAAATAGTAATAGTGACAAATAAAATTAAGTTAATCTTAGAATAAGAAACTTACTTTCGGAAACGCAGTCGGGCACCACCGACGAGGGTAACCACCGTTTGTTAACGTCACACCCGAACGTTTTTGCGGGCGAACCATCGGTGAATCTGTACCCGGCCTTGCAGGTCGCTATGCATTGCAGTCCTTTGTCTCCGGGGACGCACTGTATACCGCCATTAGCCGGCGGTTTCAGTTCCCAATCGACGCAGGGTGTCGCTTGGACCGAAACTTGGAAGTGACAAGTCGCTCTGTTGCCGCTGGAGTCCGTTGCGTATACCGTGACGTTTTCGAAATCACCGATTCGAATCATCGCACGTTCCGGTACGAAAGTGATTTTCACAGGACCGGACGCGTCCGTGGCGTTGATGCGTTTTCGTGTCTCATTGAAATTAATGGAGTAACTCTCTTGTCGGTCGATCAGTTCGATAACGTAGCTCTGAGGACAGCTCAGCTTCGGTGGAGTTATATCTGCGACATCAGAATGTCAGTTAATTTAATATTGATTAAATTATAACTAATATTAATTAATAATTTAATTAAAATTCATGTTTAAATTAATATTATATGTATAGAACGACTGACACTTTTGAGCGAACACACACCCTATTAAAACGCAAGACCAGTACTTTTAAACATGCGTTATTAACACAAGATAAATCTAAATTAGACAAATAAAACATCAGACAAATTGAAAATCGTCACTAACCTGGAACAGTGATGTTGATCTCGCAAATAGCTACATTGCCATCGTAATCGAAAGCTATATATTTCACGAACGTGTCCTCGAAGATTCGAATGGGGGTTTTGAAACTCGGAGGCCTGACTTCAACTCGGGCGATACTGCCGCTGTTGTCGATGGCAGTTGGCACCGTGAAGTTCACCGGCAGAAGCTCCCCGTTGGCACCTTTTTGCACGACTATCGGTTGTTGCGGGCAGTTCTGGAAGACCGGTGCCTCGTTGTCCACACAGGGCGAGAATCCGTAATCGTAACCCAACAACGGTTCGTTCGCTGGTTCTTCGCATCCCATAAGCTCGAACTTCAGACAGGCGTTGTCCATGTAGCTGACGATACCGAGGATCACGAAGCGGGCCTGCACGTACTTGGGCAGTGTGATCATCGCCAGTTCGCCGTAATTTCCGGGATCGCGCATAGTCAGATTGAAATTCGGGAAGTAGACGACGTAATTCTCGTTCTCCGCCTGCTTGTAGAAGAAACGGATCTCGGTGGGTCTGCCGACGATGTCATTGGAGACCACGCCCTTCACGAGGATCGCCTTCACTCGATAGACGCGACCGAGATCGACGCTGACGTAGGTGAAGGCCTCCTGCTTGCCGCACCAGCCGGTCACCGAGTTCAGCCGGATGTTCCTGGCCTCGTAGTTCGGTCTCTCGGAGGTGGAGTTTATCGCCGAGTCCGGGATGCGTCCGGAGGCTAGACCGAGAGGTTTGATGACCTTGCACTCGGGCTCGCGAATGCAGACGATCGGTCGCGGACTGATGAGGATGTAGCCAGGCCTGTTGCAGCCGAATTGTACCTCCGAGCCCTGCTCGTAGCTACGCGCCACTTGATAACCGTCGCTCGGCCTGCCGGGATCCTCGCAGACCGGACCTTCGCATCGCAGGTTGCCAAAGTCCCAAACGCCGTTCGCCTGACAGCGCACGACGTTGTCGTTGCGATTGGTCTGACCGGCCAATTTGAAGGTATCTTGACAGCCGAAGAAGAACGAGGATTGATACTTGGTGTCCAGGTACTGGCCGTACTCGGCGCCGGGCGTGGGAAGCGGCTTGCCGCAATCCACGCGGGGACAAGACGGCTGCAAACCGGACAGCCAGTAATCGGGCAAGCCGGGTTTGGGATCGTACACGCACTGTCGGAAATTGGACGTCATGGTGTTGCGCAAATAGCGGCCGTTGCTACCGCATTTCAGAGTGACGTTCTGCTTGAAGGGTACCAGCACGCTGGCCTCGTCGTTTCGGATCACGGTGAGACCCTCGTTTTTATCGTCCGGCAGAGATACACATTTCGCGTCTGCAAAAAAAGTTGAAGAATGCACTTGAATTATTTTCAAGAATAGGGATATTTAATAAATATAAGACATTTCTTGTAGAAATAAGATTGTATACAATCTTATTTAAAACGGGGATGCAACGAAAATTTATGTGCGATAATCTTGAAACGTTCTGTATATTACTTACATTGACATTCGGGAATGGTCCCGTTCCAGACTCCGGCAGACGTACAAATTACAGCAGAAGATCCAGATAAAACGTAACCAAAATTGCACTGGAATCTGATGAGTTCGCCAAAGTGATGCTGCTCCTATAAAACAAACGAATTTCTACATTTCAGAAAATATTTACATAGCGATAGTAATCGTAACAAATCAATATTTTCTTGGGCGACGAAAAGGTCGTGTTATTTAATTTTTATTTTACCTTGGTTGACAATAATTTTCCATTTTCTGGCGCCGTTAGCGGCGGGCACATCACTCGCACGCACGTTTTATTTCTCTGATACAAATCCCCATCCCTCTCGCCAGTTTCTGACTTCACCAGGTTGAATCCGGCCGTGCCATTGCTCTTGTACAGTTCAAAGCCCGTGTTGCACATGCAGGAATAGCTGCCGGGACTGTTAATGCACTTCTGATGGCAGCCACCGTTCCTGATAGCGCACTCATTAATGTCCGAACACTCCAATCTGGTGCAGCCCATTATCTCTAGTTTCATACACGGTGCCCCGATGTAATCCTGTATTCTGAATCTCACGTAGCGCGTCTCGATTGGTACAGGTAGATTCAGGATGGAAAGCGTCGCCTCCAAAATTCTGAATTCCACCGGCGTACCATCTGGATTGGTGTAATCCTTGAAGATGTCCGTCAGATCGTTCGTATACTGAATCCGCACGGCCGACGCGTACGCGATGTTCCCGTCGATCCTGGCTACGACTTGTGTGCGGAATCCACGAATGATTGTCGGCGCTTTCATGTCGATCGTCACCCAGTTCGCGCCCGGCTCGATGTTGTTGCCGCACCATCCGTCACCGTTGTTCAAACGAATACCCTTCAGTAACAGAAAATATATGAGTAGTTAAATATTATAAAAAGAAGAAAAAGCATATGAGATATTATGAATAGAAAGTGTCAATGCGTCTTACGGTTTTTGTATATCCATTTTCCGAGCTTGAAACCGTGATCGACTCGTCGGGAATGCCGCCATTGATGAGACCAAGATCGCCGATAGGCCGACACTCCATGGTCGGTGCAAAGCCCGGCTTGCACTTGCAAGTAAACGCACCGGGATTGTTTATGCACTCTGTGGACGCTAGATCGCACTGGCTCGATGTGCATTCATTTATATCTGCAGAGACAGAGATTGAGGAATATGAGACAACCGCGCGTTTCTCATTATATGATATAAGTAATTTATATCATAAAATTTACCTTCGCAGGTTGGCACATTATCAAATCGTTGATAAGGACCGCATTGTATGATATTTGATCCAGTTAGCTTGTAGCCTCTATTGCATTGCACCCTAACTTCATCGCCGAAGAAGTAATCTTTGCCAATATCAACAACAAATCCATTTTTAATTGTAGGTAGTAGCGGACATTTGGCACCTATAGAAAAGAAAGAAATGTCATGTTGTTATCCAGTGTCATCCACTTAATTTTATATCGATGGTTTAATAATCAGTATAATTATTATTATTGAGCAGTTTACTATACTTACGTGAACATGTTGGTACTTCGTCGGACCAGGTACCGTTGCTCATGCAAAGAATGACGGGATGTCCGCTTCGAACATAACCAGGTTCGCACTCGAATCTGACAATCGTGCCATAACTTCGACCGCCTCCGTTCAAGATAGTTATGTTGGAGTGAGGTGCCTCTGGCAACGGAGCGCATTGAGATGCTGAAAATGAAAGGACACACGCGTGTCTGTAATATAAAACTCCGCTTCATTTAATACCGCATCTAGTTGTATCGACTGTGAAACTGATGTTAACAAACCTAAACAGGACGGTTTCTTTTCCCATCTTCCATCAGCCAGACAAGAAATCTTCTCCGTTGGTCTTCCGGAAGGAAACGCGAATCCCGCGTAACACTGATAAGTCGCCAGTCCTCGGTAAGTAACGTTCGAAGAGCCAATCGAGAATCCGTTATCGATTTGAGGTACGGGGCCGCAGTACACCTCTTGGCATTTAGGAATATACGTAACCGACCAGTTACCCCCGGGGAGACATACCGTGGCAATCCTCGATTTGCCTGTGGCGAACTCTTGCCCTAATGGGCAAGAGAATGTAACTACTGTGCCGAAAGCTGTGTCCCGACTCGACGCTAAAGCTCCCTCGCCGGGTTGTAATGCAGGGCAATCTAAAATTATCATTACATATATAGATAAACTCATAATTCAACAATATACAACGAAATATAAAATAATTATATACAGTTAATAAGTATTCTAGTGAATATAAGTATATATTTACATGTTATTTTACATAATATAAGAAAAAAAAAAAATAAAACGTAATATAGCTTACCGGCAGAAAACTCGGCCTGCCAGCCCGCGCTGCTGTGCAGAGCATCGGAGGCAAACCTAACGAGCATTTCTCCACTTTCCGCGGTAAGCGTGATCTTAGGTCGAGTGTTAGAGGTGAAACCACTTCCGGGATGCAAGCGTAGACCGTTCGTATTGGAGCCGTCGTATATCTGTCGATTTCCCGCGAAAAAGCGAAAGTTAATAATCCGAGCGTGCGAAGAGGTAACGGAACTTCATCGCCTAGGTACGTAACTTAATTAAATTTACCTGCACGTAGTCAGTTTTGTGAACGTTGAAAGTGACGAATTTCAGAGAAAGCGGTCCTCTGTCTGGATTTTTGATTCTGTACAAACACTCCTGGTTATTAGGATACTCGTTGAGACCGTAGGACGGCGATTGAACGGTTCCGTTTCTCGCGATGATCGTGGCTTTGCAACCCTGCGTGAAGCGAATGCTGAAACCGCGTCTGGAATCGCCGAGACTAGTTTTGAAATACAAGTACAAATTGTTTCCGGTGGACATGATTACTGTCGGATTGTTCTCCGATTTCCCGGTGAGACGTGCGATCGGTCGGCTCATAGGTGAATCCCCGTCCCTCACAAGAATGTAATCTCGATTCATTTCGAGATCCAAGTCCTCGATCTAGAAACGAGAAAGTTAAATCTTTGAATCTCACAGGTACTTTATATATTCTTCATTAAAAAAAAATTTCAACATTTTATTAAACAAGTATCGCGATTGAAGTAAATTGGATACGTAAGGTTTCAACTTACTTCCAGAGACATTATGCGTCCCGGCTGAGCCTGCAAGATATACAGGCACTCCAATCCTCCGGGATAATTCTGCGGATATCCCGGGGACATGAGCACTTGGCCTTGCGGCGTTGCTCTAAGGATTCCGCCGCAAGTCTGCGGTTCGGTTTTCCACGAGGCGCGGAAGCCCTTCCTCTCCACCGAGGCGTCGCTGCTGAATTTTATGATCATGAAGTTTGACGCCGAGACGAAAAGTTTATTGCTGAGATCCTGCTTGCCGGAAAGGGTCGCCAGATTTACGGACTTCTCCTCGGTTCTACCGCCTACGAGGATCTGCACTATGTCGAAACTCTTCTCGGTCTCGAATTCTTGGAACTGAAACACACGATCGCGACTCATTTTGTATAATTCCATTTGAAGCTGTCCGATCTGTCGCTCTCCGAAAAGTTTGCACAGCATATTACATACAGCGTTAAGTTAAGTGTCATTAGCTTATTGAACGGGGAACGTTTATTGAGCAAATCACTCACCTGCAGGAGAATATTGTGTCCTTGAGGGCCCTCCAGCGTCCACTTGCAATTGCTGAGGGGTGCATATTTATGCGGGTAATTTGGACTCTCCACGACGTCGCCGCTGCTCGCCATATAATACTGGCAGTTAGCCGGACAGTCCAATTCGTCGGAGTAATCGCCGCAGTCGTCCTGCTTGTCGCATTTGAACGCGGCGTTAATGCACTTGCCGTTCGAGCAGTGGAACGAACCTGCGGAGTTATCCCGTCACGGTGGATTATCATCCCCCATTCCACGATGAAATATGGAGAACGACCCGCCGGCCCGGCCGTTACGCGACCGCTTATACATATATATGTATGTTCGCCCGCAATTCACGTGAACGGACTTACCGGAAGGACAGGCGTCGGCACGACACATGAAAGGAAGAAGCGACTCGCACGTGGTCAATTCCCACGTTTGCCGGTCATCCGTCAAGGCGACGTCCACGCATTCGCCTGAGTGCGGATTCGGTTGCCTGGACGCCCAGAAACCTACATATTTGCCAACAATGTGAAAACGCAGCCCCTGACAATGTTGACGATATTGTTTCTTTTTTGTTTCAGATAATTATTGGCATTAGAAATGTTTTATTAAGACGTTTTTGTAATAAAGCTACATCCGCTTTATATATATAAACAAACAGATAAATCTTAATAACGTGTTAACAATACGAATATCTCGACTAATGCACGCTCGTGGTAAGGAACTGCGTCGACTTTGTCGTACATATCATCGTTATCTGAGCAATTAAATTTGTCGCTAGCAACGCATAGTTAACTACAAACTCGACGCGTAATTAATAGTACGGTTTAGTAGACGGTGTGCAAATGTATTAGATGAGGAAATTGCAGCTTGTAGCAAACGGACGTGAAACGACGACGTCTGGGTATTGTTGTGAGAAAAGTGTGTCTTCATCTCGTATATGTGAGTTCCGTGTTCCGTGACCCTGATAGAAACTGGCCCCGCGTGCATGCGAGGTCGGAGCTTTGTTACAAAACGACCGCGTCACAATTATCAATCACCTAATTTCATAATACGTTCGTATAACAATAACGTTCGGAAAACTTTTACTAGGACAAAATAACCTTTCATTATTCTTTTTTATCGTTCACATCCGTATTTTGAATGAATTTATGGCTTTTAATAATTCTACCCGGTAAAAAATTTTTCATATAAAAATATATAAAAATATATATAATATTATACATATAAAGTATATGAAATATGTCCATACTACGTTTTTTTTCTTGTATAATCTCTGTTTGTATGTATACAGAAAAAATAATAAGAAAAAGACTTACAAAATAATTAAAAAAATAATTTCTGCATTGTAAAAAAAAGTCTGAGCAAATATGAAAAATTTGCTCATATATGTAATTATATATAATTATATTTTAAATACAATTATTACATTATATATATGATTATATATAATTACATATAAGTATATATAGCCAAATAAATAAACAATGTAAAAACAATAAAAAAACAATGCAAAAATTATCCTTTTAATTATTTTCTAAATCTTATTATTTTTTTTGTACATACAAACAGAGATTATACAAGAGAAAAAAAACATATATGAACATATTTTATATAATATTATATGATTATATATATTTGTTTTTATATAAAAATTTTTTTACCGGGTAGCTGTCTTTAAAATGTACAGAAATATCTTTTGTATTACAGACTTTTTAATTAACTTGACTTACAATTTTAAGTAATTAATGATTAAAAATAAGATCTTGGAAGAACTGAGTTTTAAAGAAAAAAAAACCAAGACAAATCTCGTTAAACAAATTCTTAAATCGGTTACAAATGGATTTTAATATTAAGAATTAAGCATTTCTAACTCTTCAGAATTTTCATCCCCTTCACATTTTGAGAATCGCATTTGCTAGCCGCATCGCATTACATTGAATATCGGTCAAGGTCTCTTAAGTCAATCGTTAATGACAAGGAGCGCGAGTCGCACTCGAGAGACAGATTAAAAAAAAAAAAAAGGAAGAAGTGGCAGAAGCTGCACAGGATGCATTCGGTTACGGGATTTGTTCGTGCAGAACGCGCGGCTGCCGTCTGCAAATCGAGCGAAACGAAATTGCGTACAAACCGGCGTATTGCGAGACGAGCATTCCCGCGGCGGATTCGAGCGTGTTGGTACGTAAATCGTCGAGCGAAGCGAGACCTAGCCAGTAACGATCCAAATGCCGGCCGATCATGTTTGCTGACATGTTGTTCTCGCTGTATGACTCCACCACCATCAGCTCGCTCCCATATCTGCAATAGAAGAACGCCAAAGTGATTCACCTCGCACCTCGATTCGACCATGGTCGAAAAGGATGAGAAAAAAGGGCATATTTTTTATCTTTTGTCTTGAAAAACGATTGGCACTACACATTCTTTCTGTCGAAAGAGATACCGATAGTATTCTGTCGAAGTCAAATCTTAGGTCCAGAACTAAAAAATCTGGTTGCATTAATTGGAATTCCGGTAGATTCAACTAGTATGTCTGTTGGAAAATAAACAAATCAAAAAAATTTTTTTTGAATTACCAAATGAGCATGATTGATTTCTTCCCGTTAAATATACCAGAATTTCTGTGTCGTGTATGTCTAGTGAATATAACTAGAAGTTTTATAAATCCAACTGGGGGAAATACTAATCAAATCCTTATAGTTAAGTCTATCAAACGTTCTAGTTACAATACATCGAGTTTTATTGTGATAATTAGAAATTCTGCTTGGTTTCACCAAAATGCATTCTACCATACATCACTTCTTGTTGGTACCATCAAAACATTTTTCTCAGTGTAAATGAAAGGGAAAGATCGATAGTGCATGTCCCTTACCTCCTGCATAATTCCGCCGCTTTTTCCCAAGAATGCCTGATGTTGAAGAATTTATAACAGTGTATGCCTCGCAGCTCCCATCCTGCGCAAGGAAACATCGCATTAAACTGTCTGCCTTAGATGTAGAGATTGTCTGAGCGCAAAGTTGTAATAATGCGCCACGAGCACGCAATATCGCTAAGGGGATTATTGGAACATCACGTTACTGATTATCCTAATTGATCGAAATCTCTCTAAAATTATGGTAAAGATACGCTCATAAATTTTTTATACTTTAATTTATTCACAGTAGTGAAATTTTTGTTGAAAACTAGAAAACACCGGCACGGTGTACGGATGCAGGAAACCTTATTTTAAAGTCGGCGAGCGTTTCCGTGTAACCGGATACTTTAAACCATCTTCTGCCGCAAGCATACAGAAGACAGGAAAGGCGGTTAATCGGTGACCCGCACTGACAGCAACGGACATAACGGCCTCGATTGTTTTTTTGGCGTATATACGTGAAATAGTGAAACTCATGATGGTGGCAGTTGAACAAGTTTTATAGATTGATTTTTATTAAATATCTATATTTACTCCGATCCACTTTAATATTCTACATTCAATATTCCAGTTCAATTTAATTCTATCAATTCGATTGTCGATATCTATTCTTACGACGGTGGCCTGTCTGATTACCTATCACCTTCGATTTACACGATACACAATTTACATTCTGAGATTCAAAGTTTCCTCAAATCTGATTAATTGGAAAGTAATTCGATGCGCTTGCTCGTTCGACTGAGAAATTGCATCGAAATAATTCTCCGTACTGATCGATATGACTATCGTGCGTAAAAAGCTTTGCTATCCAGATCGCTCCCGGCGCCGGCGGCGGCGAGAACTTTTATTTCACGCCATGTCGTACATCGTCTGAGAATGCTCTCGAGTTTCCGCGAACTCGATTCGTGTCAGTGATTCGATCAAAGTAAACCACCTCGTCCCGGTCAGAATCGTGTCGTATAACAAGCGCGAATATTGTATTTCGCGGAATTTCTGAGCGACAGAATATGCAAATTACTAGAAGTATACTAAAGTTTCGATCCGGGAAAGTATATTTCACGGTTATCTCGTAGGAAAATAACAATAGTAGAACGCATTACAGCGTGTTTCATTGTTCAGGAAATAACAATGTTACGCGAGATAGGACTAAATAATATTACCTCGGCTTTAAATCGATATCTATTCTCTAGTTTGGCATAAATGTAGATAACTCGACGGAGAATTTAAAAATATCTTTCTAAGTATTCAACTCATGATCATTTATTGGCGATTTCTACTTGTTATTTCAAACGGTGTCGATGTTCGATCAAAATAAATATTCTGTCCATCATATTCTCATCATTTTACAACCACTTGATGACACAGTCGTAAATATAAACGCATAAACAGCATATTCTTCTGCAGGTTGGATACTTTCCACTCGAGTTATATTGCCACAATTTCTAGACGTATAATTAAGTCATTTTTATAAAATTTTTATAAAAAGTTAAATTTATTTTTTTTATTCTTCTTTTATTATTGGCGGATATTCCCAACATTTATTTGATTTTTTTGCTGCCTCGCTGCTGAATGAAAATGAAAGATCCTACGTGGAATGCAATTAAATATGTTTTTTGCATTTTTCGTTGGAACACGTAAGTCGCATGGAAGAGAAACGAGACGCGCAGCATCACTCAGTCATGTTGCTGATGCAGTGGGCGCTAAATTCGCAGGGAGAGACTCGATGACGACCTTCCTTTCTTTCAAAAGGTCAAACGGCCATGCACGCACGCGGTTCTCCCCGACGTGCATTAGCATTTCTCGTCGTCCGAGGAACGTGTGTGAAATATTATTTTCTCCCGGCGATGAGACGCGTGATATTTCAACGATCGCGTAATATTAATGACACATCGCGAAAAATGGAGGAAATCACAATATCTTGTTGTTACAAAAAAAAATTGAAATACAGTGTGAGCTAATGAAACAAAAATCTCCACGAGTTTTTTTAAAGGTAAAGCCGATAACAAATCAAAATTGACTTTAAAATTGATAAAATTCAGTATTTAATGGAATATAGATGTAAAAGAAATTGGATCAGAAACTCGTAACAATCGAAAGAGTTAATTCACTGGTGAAATATAGCGAATGGATGATATAATCCTTTGACTTGTCTAATCGGCACGCGAGTACGCGGAAAAACAGATCTTTGTGCCTCTTTTTCCGAAGGCAAAAGCCATCTTGCGAAAAACGAAGTATGTACACGCATGACGGATGATCGCGTAAGAACAGATAAGTGAGCAAGTTGCCGGATGTTCTACTTTTTGGAATCCCGTTCGACGGTGCAATGCGCTCGGTCGAGTTTCCTCCGAGGTATATAACCGCGTGGCGCAAACGCGAGGAGCCGACGTATATTTTTAGGGCCCGGCCGCTGTGTGTACGACGAAAAAAGGCGAGCGACGATTCGATGGGTATGAGGGTGGATGAGAAGGAGTCGCAGAAGAGAAGATCAGAGAAGATGGAAAGATGCGGTGGTGGATTCACGGTTTAGGAATGCCGTCCCATTCTTTCTTCGCCGCAGCTGCCTCTGCAGGATCTACCTGATTCGACGTTTATACGTGAGGGCTCGAAAATTTCAGGCCTCAACCCGCGTTAGGTAGAACTCTCCCTGCCCATCGGACATCGCACGTTAAGATAGAGGTTGACCTCCCGATTTGGCTGGAATGTTCCGGCAGAATAACGAGTTCGAGTTTCAAAATCTTAAACCGCAACTTAAAATTCTTTCACATCCTGAAATGCGATTCCTTCAGATAAATGTGAATATTTTCGTCATGTAACATGTGGAATGTAAGAATGTTGACGAAAGAGATATATGAATCGCGAGCGATTCCAGCGTTAGTACTTAAAATGTTAATAGAGTAATACTTATGTAAATGAAAAGAGTTATGCTTTCAGAAAGTAGATTTTATTCTGATTATCGAATCAACGTAACATATTAACATATATCAGCTACTGGCATACAAACTTTACTTTCTAAAATTGAAATTCTATTTTTAATCTTATAAGATACAGTCATCAAGATATTGAATTAAACATTTCATTCTTCTAATGACAATCTTTCTTTTTACTAGCTATTGTCTAATGTTAAGTGATATTCATTCAAAACAATTTCTCGGTCTCTCGATGAAATCGTTTCTCAAATGTGCGGCTACTACGAGACCAGAGGCGTGACCGAACGAAGCGAGTAGATTAATCGAGGCACTAAAGAAGAACGAGAAAATAGAAAACACACGGAAGAAAATAGCACTTGCAATTTTTCAAGCGCACGCGACGACTTATGGCTAACGACCAGCCGGCCCCATATGGTACGTGCAACCTACTTAATTGCATCGGCGAGTAACGAGGAAAAGTGGAGCAGCGTTACGAATGGCCGAACTCTTATCCTCATTGTCTCTCACGAGATTTATTTATCGGACATGCGTATACTTGTCTCATTTTCGAAACTCCTCGTGTGCTGCCACAGCCGTGGTATAATTGTCGGCGTGCAATTTGCGATTCAAAGCATCTCCGTGTAATTTGAATGTAAACGGCGACGCGTCCTAGTAAAAAAAAAAGAGTCTTCTGTTGGTTTCCCTTTATTTGCAATTGTACCCGGTGCTACGCGTGTCGCGAAACTAATTTTTTCACGGTCTGTCCGCGGAATAAATCCTGCAAAACTGGCCACACACCTACTATTTTACAATAAAAATATTGCAGACGGCATAAGTATTGATTCACGAGTAAGAAACGCCGAGTCAGATCAAACAAACAAGACCCCTTTTTGTGGTAGAATTATCACTTAATAGAATCGTGTTTTACTCCGGCGGAGATTTCTTCGGGTTGCCGAATTGTGATTTATCTCTCTCTCGGCAGTTATCCAAACATCAGCGGATTGTGCGGCATTAGCCGTAATGGCGTTTACGGTTTCTCAATAATCTAGAAAATCGCTCTATGCCGATTTTATTGCCCGGCTGTTCTTTCGAATCTCTCGTAACCTCTGCGAGACGAGAGAACTCGAATATTAGCGGAGGCCGGTCGCGAAAGTAAGAGTCGCCTAATATCTGCATAAGTTGGATGACTGTGAGAATGACGATTTCTACGATGTCTCCGGATTAACTTGGGAGAACCGTCTTGAAAAAATAATTACAGAGCAACTTTCACGTCATCTCTTGCGTCGTACCGCCATCGATTCACGGGAGTTATTCATAAATCATTTATATTACACTTATAACATTTGTGAATTTTCAAGGATTAAATGAAATTTGCACATTTTTTTACGAGTAAAAATATTTTCTCGTGTTTTTTCATAGAGATTTAAATTATTCCGAAGAATTAATTATCTTCAATTTTGTCTAAACAGATACGTGTGCGAATACTGGATGCGATTTTTTGGAAAGGAAAGAGAAGGTTCGCTTTAAGTGTTGCTTTATGCGCCAGTAGTATACAAGGAAATGTTATTACTCACCGTTTGGACAGGTGAAGACATTTGTGGTAGGAACCTGTAACAGAAAGGAAGCGTGTTTATTTAACACTGATAGTTAACGCTTGAACATAAATTAAATGATAGTTGGTAACTGAACTCTAAATTGCAATAGCGACTCTAAATCAAAACTACATTTAGTTTGTATAATATAAACTAGAAAAAATTTTCTTAAATTATTGACCAACAAATTAATGTTGTAATCAAATTTAATAAGTAATAAGAATATCAAGATTTGTTCTTAAATGTTTTTCGAACAGTTTGCTATAATGTCGGAAGCAGATTCATATTAAATGATTAAATTTGAATGATTAAAAAGCTTCTTTGAATTGTCATAGTGACTCAAATTGTAGTAACAATATTTTGATAGGTAATAAAAATATGAGAATGTTTATAACGGTAAATTAACGAGACTCTGCCTTGAGATTTATGATGTCAATTACCTTTTTGAGAAAAAAGGATCATAAATCTCAAATCTCTTATTACTTCACACCTGGAAGTCGCAGTTTTCGCGTGTCGGATTTAACGTGGAAAGGCGCCGCGCCGGTTAGACCCAGACATGCTAGACGCATTGTTATCCAGGCAGGAGAAAGTGAAGATGCAATCTGTCCAACGATCTTCGTTTCTCGCGTCCGTCTCTCAAGAGCGCGGAAAGTATCCGCTACTCCGCGAGAGCGGAGGACTCGGACGCGTTCTCGTCTGTATTTTCGACGTTGCTATGCGTGCGCGTATCAGTGATATAACGGTGACTACATTCCTACGAGAGGTGCGAGTTGCACCAGCTGTAGAAAGGCTGCACCCTCTCGTGCATTCCTGCGCGCGAGCACGCTTGAAAATCAAGTCTCCATGCATGCCACAGTTATCAAAGTCATTTATTTCTAATGTATTACGATAAGAACGATGTCTTATGATGTCACATATATGTTTATTAGATAATTATGCAACCAAACGCGATAAGAATTTGCACGAGAAAAATGTCGTAGTTATTTAATTTCAAGCCGATAGAAAATATCGAAAGTATAATATATAAATGTAATACAAAACAAAGGAAAATTAAAATTCAAAATCTTTGCAAGAAGAATTTCTGAATTTTGCTTGCATTCGCTCTGTATCTCTACAAAGGATTTAGTTTTCTACAGCTATATAATTGCCGGACAGATTGCTAGTTTTAGAGAGGAACTTCTCGCTTCTCGAGGAGACGTTCGTCAAGCGGTGTCACGCAGAAATGCTTGCCTCGGACTTACATTCTCGCTACGTTCTCTTCTCTCCCGCGAGTACCGGGCTACTAGTTCTGTAGTTAAAATATGTTATATCTGTGTGCGATCGTGCGCGGCACCTTGGCGTATCAGCCAAGCGGCGCGGGTACTTATATGCGTACGGGCGCGCTTGTGTGCACTGAAATTCACTTTCACCTCGCATATGCCACATCTCGTGGAAACGAGCTCCGGCACCGCTAACTCCTACGGAGTTGGCTCGCCGCGCCGCCGACATACCAATTACTTCATAATCCTACGGTTTGAAACTCGTAAGAATCCCGACGTAGGGCTTATATCGCGCGAGCTCTCGCCCTCGCGTGTTTTCTTCCTGACCGGCCTCGCCTGACGCAGTCAGGGCCGCGCAACTTTTTCTTCATCACAGACAAAATTATCTTCGCCGAGAGCACTCGGGGTTCTTCTCGTCTATCCGACGTGATTAAGTTAAAAACTGGCCGGAATGTTATGATCAGATTCATGGCGAGAGAGGAAAAAAGAGAGAGAGAGAGAGAAAAGGAGCAATGACTGTTCTTAGGCAGAAGAGGAGACGGTAAATAGACAAGTGATTAACGCAGAGTCTTTTACTTCTAAAGACGCGCGGGACGATGTGTAATTTGCGAAGTGATCGTGAATATCGGTTAGCAATAGACGCACTTAACTCCCGACGCGTGCGGCACACTTTGAAGGTGCTGAAACTTCAAAGCTTGATAAGAATGTACTTGAAACACTCACCTGAGACTCCGTTAGCTGAAGATGGCACAAGAGGACGGCGACCCAAACGGTCGCCAATTCTCTTATCAGCATATTCCTGCAACAGACAAGAAACTCTACGTGAGTAGGCAATTTTGCGTCGTACGACGTATAATTAAACGATCGTAGATATCGTCGAACGGTGTAACGGAGGCGGTGCGTAATTTTTTTTCTCGAAACCTCTCGATTTTTCTCGGAATTTCTCGCCGCTGACTGGCGTCTCTTCGTCATCGGCGCATTTAGCGATGCAACGTGTGCGCGTTTCATCCTCGGCCAGGATTAGCGATTGCGAGTCCACGTGAGAGTCGTACCGTTGAGGCCGCGATTCGTTCGCGAGACTCAGCGAGACTTTTTTTTCTCTGCCTTCGTCGGACGTTCGTCATAATCGCGAAAGAACGCGGAAGCTATCGTTGTTTTCTGTACACCGTCGAATACACACCCGTTCCCATAAAATTCCTTACGGTTTCTGTGGCTGAATTGTGGCACAGAGCGCGAGCGGCTGTGTGTGCATACCTCGCCCCGCGTAACCGAGTGCCGTGGTCGCCGATAACCGTCGCGCGGTCCGCGAAGATTATTATTGATGACGTTACGCTGCACTGCGCTGCACAGTGCACCTGTGTGTCTATTAACTCTACCGGACCTTATTTTTCGTAGCGTCAACCCCAGCGTGGGGTCATCCGAGCATCACGCTTTTGCTCTTCCGCGTTCGTCACGTCCCGCAAATATGTCTGGGATTATGCGTTTAAAAGATTACTCCGAAAACGGCAACTCTTGATAGATTCTAAATCTGTCTAAATCCAACCAAAGAGAGAAAAAAAGAAACGAAATAGAAAGAAGCATGATACGACGATTAAAGAACATGTATATGTATTATTACAATTGCGTTTTCCAAGTCGCAAGCAGTTACGAATTAGACGAGTGACGCAACGGTCGCGAGGCGCATCGCGGATGAGCGAACTCGTGGGAAGCGCTGGAAAGCGATCTTGCGCGCGCTACGCGATACACCGTCGTCGTCGGCGCGGCATAGTACGGATCGCGAAAGTTTATTATATTTTCGCGCCGTTGTACAGTCACTTTTATGCAACCAACGCGCTATTGTCCGTCCACACACGCGAGGCGTCACAATTGCGCCTCGCGCTTAACTGGAGCAAGCGGTCGTGCGAGAGCTGCCGAGTCGAGTATCCGTGTTTAATTAGCGGCTGGGTAATTAGGCCTCCTCGCATTCGGAAATGCCGATTGCGTCGTGAGAATTCGTGCCAGCAGAGCTCTTCCTTAATCATACATGCAAGCGTGTGGCCTTTCAAAGATTTCGGTTGCAACAGTTGTTAAAAGAGAATGTTGAGACCAACTCAAGAAGATAACTTTGGTGATTTTTAAGAAAGAGATATTAATGTTTTTAACGGCGAGGAGCGTCGGTTAATCAATTTTTATTCGCAAAGATAACGGGTCGCTTCCCCTGCTGCTTCGATTCGCGTGTCATACTTCTGTATAACCGAGCAAAAGAAGCTAATTCGCGTAAAATAAGCAATCGTTCGGATGTTTTCTTGCGTAAACACGGTCGTCGCCTCGGATGAGACGATCGTACCAGCCGAACGCGAGACCCGTTAGAATTGCGATTGGTATAGGAAGTATCCTATCGGCTAGAGGACCGGACCGCGACGAGATTACGATTATTCGCGATTACACCGTCGTCGTCGGCAGGAAATCTTCCTGCGGTGAGCTAAATGTCTGACGTGCTCCCACTGCCCCGTTCGAGATATAGTCGATGCCCGACGATTATAACGGTTTATCAGGGAATCCGGACACGCGCGCGTCACAACCGCATGCGTGTGTATATCAATGTATGTATAAGGCGTATCTCCTCGAGAAAACATCAACGATGCATCTGTATAGGTGCGCGAATCGTCGTCCTGCTCCTGTCTTTAACAGTCGTGGCACGAAACCGGTAAAATGGAATCGAGAGAAACAGAGAAATATAAGGCCGGTGTCTTTCGAGTTGCTCTCGAAAAGATTCGTGGTCGATAGTAATCAGAGAAGTTAAACCTGTTCATTTCCTTTATATTTATTCCGAACGAATGCTCCCGGTTCCTCGCTCCGATGAAAAGATTTCTCATGTATTAAGAATGCACGAGATATATTTTACGAAACGTTATATTGTTAAAATGTATAAGACACTTCAGCGCAAGGTCAAATTGGTAATACGCGAGGTGTTGAAATCGAATCGTCGTTCATTCAAATGGATTAAATGTCAATTACGTGAATAATTCAGCGGAGGAAAGAAATCGCGCTGCGTGTCTATTTATAAAACTACGTACATACATAGATGAACGAAGGACCGTGCAAGTTGAGCGACAGTTCATGAAAAGCAAAAATACGCATTGACTGTATTTACAATGCTAATCGTCTCGGACGTCATTAAGTCGATAAATGCAGATATCCGCTCGTTATTGAACTCGCGATTCGCGCTGCGCGAATCACGCGGCGAAAATAGAAGAGAAAATAGGCGCGCGCGCGCGTAAATCGAAAACCAGCGGAGAAGGCTGGGATCGGGTGGAGGCTGGATCCCATCAAGCTAGCTAAAACTGGACTGGATCCTAGGTCAGCGCTAGAAAGTATTCGGGTTTCCTGTTAAGCGGCACGAAACGGTGCGTGTAAAAAGCGAGCAATGACTCCCCCGGACGCGTTTGAAACGCGACTTTCCGCGCGGTGAAGCCGAGCGTGAAGGAACGCGAATAATTCGGCGCGCTGGGGAACGGCTGCGCGGAATTGCGCCATTCGATTCGGGCAAACTTCTGTCGGACAAGCCGTGATTAAATTTTACGCAATTTCTCAAAAACTCGTGCTCTTGGTACGCTTTGATATTTGCTTCAGACGTAGAAAGGTCATACAGATGCCATAACAGCCTCATTTTGCAGTCATAACATTCTGCAGCGTGTAATAAACTTGTATCAGACAATCGCGTGAGAAAACAGTGTATCGCTCTATGGGTTTCGATGCGAGACCGCGATTTTTCTAATGCGCGTTCAGGCAGCGCCATGCAGCGGTGGTATCAGCTGTGTGGACAAATTTATTTATTTTCTCGCGCAGTGTGCCGGATAACGGTCTCTCCCTGTGTTACCAGGAAACGCTCGCATCATCATAATTGCGATAGCACTGCAAACATACTTTCTAACTGGATCCTGAGCCTGGTTATCTTGATCCTTACGTCGCGATCAATTATTTCTGTAATAAAGGAGATCCCCGCGCTGGATTGTACGGACGCGTTTTTAATTACGTCTTTAATGACTGCGATATTTCTGCGGATTCGCGCGTTGATTCGCGCATCTGGAGCATAATTTATGTATATAACGACGGATCAACGTCGCCGTTTAATTGCGCCTTTTTTATCCCATTCCCGTGTACACTTCCGTCGGATGGATTTCGCAAGGAGGCTCGTTTCCCAGCGTGTTTTACTTTTTTGTAACTATCTGAAAGTACGAGATTATGACAAATTTCTCGTAGGAAAACGTATGTTTTATAATTTCTCTATCGATGTCTAATAACATCTTGCGGTATCGTTGATACCGTCGATTTATGCGCAATCACCGTTATTTACCGTTATCAATAGTAAATTCTATGAGGCGTGTTTCTTTCTCGTCCGTTGTATTTATTCTCACGAGCCTTTCCTTGGCACTGAATTAGAATTCTTGCTTAAGAATCACAATGTTCGAAGAAGATGCAAGTGCGTTAACGTGGAAATAACGTTTTAACAATTAATCATTAATGAGATAAAGTAAAAAAATAATAATAAACTCAGATTACTGAATTTTAATTATAAAAGGAACTGGAAAACTTTGTGGATTGTGAATATTGTGTATATTTCTCTTGTCCGCGATGGTTCCAATCGAATTTCGAGGTCAATTTTTGCGAGAGAACGTACTTCTTGTGCTCCGTTTTCAAAAGGTAGCCTGCATTTTGTGGAATTTCAACAACAATTGAGATTTACGGGCTTACTTTACGATGAACGAAGGTCGTTTTCCTCGCTCGAGTTCATCGACTCGAGAGGGAAAAAGCGAGAAGGTATAACTAAGAAAGTTTATTCAAATACAGATATCACGAGTGAAGTACCGCTGCGCATTGTCCGCCAACCGCTTCCGGCTACCTCGATAAACCCCGTCAGCGACACATCCGTTCGATGACAAAATTGGTAAACGATACGCCATGATACCAAACTTGAATTCAACCCACGCGACACTCGAGAAGTCCCTCACGTAATAATTATCCCGTAGCATATTGTTGGTACGTAATACGAAGAAGCCCACAACGTGACGCACAAAACGCCATTGTTATCACGTCTTTCGCAATTTACGCAATTACTTCTGTTTAATAAATATAAAACATGTTATGCGTCGATGTTATCTAATATATAATTCTACATAATTTTTAGCAGAATAAGTGCGTGTCGTCACGAAAAGATCGGGAGTTACAAAGTTTGACGGCAGCTTCGAAATTGATCCTTAGATAAGATTGAGAGAGAGAGAGAGAGAGAGAGAGAGAGAGAGAATTGAATTAAAGAATTGCGGAAAGACATCTCTGTCGTTACCCTTTACGTAAAGCCTAATAACGCACCTGGCTGTAGCTCCGTGAGAATTTTACACGCCGTTGTGCTTCTTGGTGAATGGAACTACATGGCCTGATTACTTTGAGTATTACCGTAATCGCGTCTGCGTCTTGGATGAATTAGCAAGCGCGCGGATTCAATCTTCGACGTAACAAGGCGTGATATAATTTCCGGTTGACAATCGACAGCCTCGAAATATCTCTATTTCTTCGATTTTTTTCTTTTTTTTTTTGCGTAACGGTATTTCTTATTCGACGACGCATAAAACGCAAATGCGCCGTTATAATTTCTTTTATTCATGTACAATTATTTAACAAGAATCACGTCGTAACATTTGCGGAGAGCCGCTGATATCCTTGAATTTGTCGGAGCAAGAGGTTTCGGCCTCGAACAAAGGACTCGTGAGAACCGAGGGGATGCATTTTTGTGCGTGGGTGTACTTTTCAGGTAGGTTTTCA